TCAACAATGAGAAAAACTCATACCATATAGTAAACTATAAAAGGACCTGATATAAAAAATGTGGAACAATTCAAACAAGAAAACTAACGGCTTAATTAGTAACAATACAATTTACTAAAAACAAATATAAAGGACCTGAATAAATAAAAAATACTAAAATCACAGGCCCTTGACATGGGATGGGCACATACAGAAATTAACAGAGCTTTCTGTATACCGGATTATTTTGAATCTACAGTTTAAGGTTGCAATAGAAAATATCAAAATTTTACATGACAAACATATGAAAAAAAAATGATTTTTGATAATTGCTGATGAGACAATGATTTAGTAAAAAAACATCAAAGCTGTGTAAATAAAAACATATTTGAAATAATACACATCTACAACCTATTTGAAATAATACACATCTACCGTTACAAACTCTCCACAGCTGCTATCCAGCACTTTGATTTTATTAGTTGTTATTGTCTTTGAACTAGCTGTCAGTAACAACGAGTACTCTCAGATCTGTACTTGGTGCGTTCTTGTTGTGGGGATGTATAAGTACCCTACCACGTCCACTCTGTGTTTTTGTTACTTGTTTTGTGCTTTGTATCGATCTGATAAGTTAAGCCTTTTCAACTGATTTTTATAGTTTGTTCATATGTTGTACTGTTACACCACTGTCCCAGGTTAAGGGGAGGATTGGGCGCCCGCTAACATGTTTAACCTCGCCATATTCTGTATGTGCCTGTCCCAAGTCAGGAGCCTTTAATTCAGTGGTTGTCGTTTGATGCTGTATATCATATTTGTTTTTCGTTCATTATTTTGTACAAAAATCATGTCGTTATTTTTCTCGTTTGAATTGTTTTACATTTGTCATTTCGGGGCCTTTTATAGTTGACTCTGCGGTATGAGTTTTCTCATTATTAAAGTCCAGAATCTTTGCTTAAGCGCAGTAAAAGTTGAGAAAGTTTTGGACTTTTCCCAATATATTCTATGTAAAGTATTTTTCAAAATACCTTCCGTAGTTTGGTCAGCCTGGAGGCAGGAAACAAGAAGTATATTTTACTGTTTGCCCTACACTTGCAATAACATATGCAATATTGGATAACGCATCCTGAACCAACGTTTCTACGCTAATTGAGGTAAATTGAACTTGATCTTAGATAAAATGACCTCACAATTCTTCGGAAAATGTCTGTATCAAGTCAGGAATATCACAGTTGTTTTCTAGTCGTTCCGGTTGCCGATATATTCGAGCGTTTGGTTTTGTCAGTTTTTATAGACTTCCCCTTTTTGAATGAACTTTTCCATCCAGTATTTTAGCTAGTCAGATATTTTTTCTGATCTCATTTTCAACATTTTTTCTTTATACCAACTCCTGTAAAACTGCAACATATTATAGTATATATATATATATATATATATTTTAAGTTATCATTATTTTATAAGCCTTATAATAGTAAGATATAACAGCTAACTTTCTTTGATTTAGCTTATCACTGTTATATTTGCATGACTGCATGCTACATACTTATGCATATTACTGATATAATGTTAATATAAGATTGGAATAACATTTTGGAGATTAATAATTTGGTATAAATAACAGAAAATTTAATCTAATCAAATCTTGTATCCTCATTTGCAGCTTAATGCTAAAGAGGATAGTGTTTATTGTTAGGTTGAATTATACGAATTTTAGGGGAAAAAAAACGGGTTAAGTAAATTGCATAACAATGTAATTTTAACTTTATATTGTAAATCTTAAAATGTTAAAAATATTTATTATCTGTAAATATTTTTAACATTTTGATATATACATACTTAATAGTGTGTTGAAATTACATTGTTAGGCAATTTATAATTTCATTTGTGTAATTGTATTAATATTTGTACTGATTAATCCACACTAAAATAAATTTGTATGTTATATATATATAGCACGCCTTTTACGAATCAACGTATTGAACGCACGAAAATTGTAGCTTTGAGTGAGTTAAATATGCTAATGAGTAATTTTAAGACGTGGCTATATATGATTTGTAATATTAATAGTTAAATGCTGACCAATGAGACTGAACTGTGCCTTTCATAAATTAAATATGTCAATCAAACAGTGACTAGCAAAACATCTCTTATTTTCAGAAAATGAACACATATGACACCTTTTCAGTAGGATTTGTATTTCAGATAAATGCACATGTACATGAATTATTGTTGTGCGATTTACAATGAGATTTACAGGCCGAAGATTAATTATTGTGTTAATAAAAAGTGTACCATCCCAGAAAATTCTTGAGGGGGTCCATGCAAAATCTTTGATCAAAGATTGAATAGGACGTGCAGTTTTAGAGGTGTTGCAGTTATGATAAGAAGGAAACTTTTTCAACCAATTGTGAAGGTATTGTTTCTTTCCAAACAAAAACAATCGATTGATTGGTTGGTTGTTCGTTGCGTAAGATCCAGGGACAAATATTTGAAGCATGCTCAATTCACGGAGATATACCTCCCCATTTCCATTCTCAATTTTACTTTGTAAAGTGGAAGAAATCACTGACCATCCAATAACATAATTTTTAGGAATATTTATTCTGATACGATAAAAACAGGTATCCAACCAAAATGCAAGTTTCTAAAGTAACACAATGTGTGGGGTGGCCATGAAAGGGAGAAAATCGAGCACATGGTATCCCATAACAATATTTTGTTTAGATATTTGCTAATTTAACCTGTATTTAATTTTTGGTATTTCTAGAAATTTGAAATAATTTGTTAATTTGTTTTTTATCAATATCGTCTCTTTGTATATTGAGCTATACCTCATTTTTTTCTTTTTTAAGTCCCCCTCTGACATTCCGCCATTAATCGCAAGTTTTAGAACCCTTGTTTTGATTTAGTGTTTGGTTTATGAGTTTGACCTGTGGTAGAGTAGGGTATGGGTTCTAGTTAGTTTGAAGTCCCTGTTTCCCCGTCCGAATTTATGTTTTAATAATTTGTTGTGAATGCATTTTATTTAGATTGATGAGGAAATCTATATGGTCATTGTTATCAAATTTTGTTAAGCAGTTAAGCTGCCTTATGCGAGCATCCTAGATTTGTGTTCTACCCAACAAATGCTGAAATACGTGCCAATGTTATTATCTAGCTGGCTATTATGTTATTTATAACTAATTGGGCATTTTTTTAATACTTTTATTTCTGGAGTACAAAAAATATGACCAGAAAAACCTTAAATGATCGTCGAACTACCCAAAACTTTTGAAGTTGCACATAGGAAGTAGTGCTCAATAGAAATCCGTACGTAGTTTATTATCCCTTGTGCTTTTGGCTACGATGTCAAAGAACAATTGTATAAAATATTGCATCGCCGAAAATCGGTAATTACAAGTCGTTTATATTTCCCAAATGGCAAAATGCGCAGGAATATTGTTCATGTACAACCAATCTCTATGATAGAGGAAATAAAGTTATATAAGTGGGTGGTAATTTCTAACTTATCTTGCCAAATAAGGTTGTTGTTATTTTATGAATGAAACGAGGTCATGAAAACCGCTGCTGGATAACTCGGACTAAAACAAAATCGGCCTATCACAAACTCGGACTATAACAAACTCGGACTATAACAAACTCGGCCTACCATTATTTATATGCGGAAATATATTGAACAAACTCGGACTACGATTAGTACATTGTTTTGTGGGTTTTTTTCCTCACTTTAATAAAAAAACAAACTTTATATATAAAAATTATATACGAATTTTGAGATTATGATAAATATTTTTGAAAAAACAATGTATAGAAATGTATTAAAATAAACTTAGATCCATCATATTAAATATGTGTTTTATGAGTTGAATTTGATATGTTTGAATGAGGATAATTAACTTCTTTTTGAAATATTATTGTGATTTTCTCGTTTGTTTATTTTTTTTGACAAAAGATGTTTTAATGATTGGCGTGTGTGCGTGTTTGTATTGTATTTAATCCTTGATGTTCATAATTAGTATACAAATAAAGAGAAATTTGATTGACAGTGAATGGCTTCTTAACAATTTCACTAATCTGTAATTCTTTATTAATAGATTCACCAATTGAAAAGTAATTATATTTAAATGGTCACATCAAACAGATACAATGTTTTTAGAAAGGCAAGCCGAGGCAAACATTTATCATACATATATCTAAAAATAGATGTGGAGTAAAATTGAAAAAACAACAGAGATTTCTTTGATCTTACCTTATAGTTCTATAAAATAACATGAAAAAAATCCCCATCTCATCCTCAACATGGGTACCGACCACTGCGTCGGCTGACATTATATATAATTTTGAATTGGTCTAAATGAATACTTAAAATCTAAAACATAGCTCTTTCATTATATAATGTTTAAGAATACGACTATATATAATTGTCATGATTGAAGTGAAAACAAAAAAATACATAATTTGTATAAGTGACTTCTGGTTTTAAAATTATAAAGTATTTTTTTTTAAATAATGTTGTTACTTCTTCAGGTTTCACAATGAAGGAGTATCGTTCTATGATGCAAAGTGAAGAGACCGTTAATTTCATCTGTACCAAGTACAATGATGTAGAAGAAGAAACAACCAGGTAGGCACTCGTCTAATTGTAATAGTGTGTTTATGTTGAAATTGTAAAGTTGATACATTTTATTTTTAAACAAACATAGCGTTTCATTAGTATTTGTATATATAGAAATCTATAAACATGTGGTATGATTGCCAATGATCAATGACCCCACATCCAACCAGAGTTGATACATTTTATTTTTTTTTTAAACACTGCGTTTCATTAGTTAATGTATATATAGAAATCTAGAAACATGAAGATGTGGTATGATTGCCAATGACCCCACATCTAACCAGAGATCAATGATGCAAGGTGTTCAACTATAGGTCACTTTATAAGAAATGTTCGTTTTAATGCATTTATTATGAATTTGTATCTTTAAAAATTTAAATCTTTTATAACTTATTATCATTTATTTCAGTTGCCCAGTCAACTCAACACATATTACAGACGTTTCAGACCAACCGATACCGGACTATGGTACCTTCAACCTCTCTGTCATCTCCGCAGCAAATAATACCAACAGCCTCAACACAACCTTCACTATCAGCCGTGAACCAGACCACACAACTGAGGTAGAATCAGACCCAGCAGGTGCTCCAGAGCAAACCATACCAGAACCAGATACTGAACCAAACCTCACAGCAAGTTTTGACGTGACACGTAGACCAATAGAAGATCAGCAAGAAATATTAGAAGAGTAAGTAAATTAAATGTATTACTTAATCTATATATAGGTTGAAAAAATGTATAAACAAAAATACCAACGGTACGAAACGCAAACAGCTTTACAACGAACTCTGACTTGGTATTGTTCACATGACATGATTATGATTCAATATATAAACATTGATGTTTTGGTTTTTTTTTTTATTTGATTTGATTTATTGCTCATGAAATAGTTTTTTAATATATATGGGTTGATATTTGTAATTGCCAACTAATGTGATATGATCAGTATAATATTCAGGTTGCACTCTAATAAACTATTTATCCATTCATTCATATACTTGATATCTAATTAAACATTTATTTGTAGTTCCTTAATTGAGCCAGACCTACCAGACACTATTCTGCCAGACATACCAGTAACCTACACATTGGTTGACCAAGGTTCCCAGCGTGGCCGGTTTAAGTTGGTGAGCAGTGATGGGTATGAATATACCAAAAAGGTAAGACATCTTAATATTAAGGTAAAATGAAATTTGTTGTATACGTCAATGAGACAGCTAAAGTAAAAAGAAAACAGATGATTGTGTACAATTTTTCATTACTTGAGCCTAACATTTATTCCTTTCAACCGACACCTTGGTTTCAAGCGTAGTTTTACGTATATGATGTAGGTAAATTAAACTAATAATTTGAAATATTTAACGTGGAACGTGGTGTGTATGCGTCAAAGTGACAGCTAATGTACATAACAGATGTGCTTATTCATATGACAAGTCCGAATAAAATAAACTTTCTATTTCAACTGTTGTATTAATGATTAACTCTAAGTAATTTTTAATTTTTAATTTCAGTCATCCAAGGGTGACTTTACGTACTGGAGGTGTTCCAAACGCTCCAAGACTGTCAACTGCCCAGCAACAGTCTCTCAGAAAGGCAGTGACTATAAGATGAACACCAGACAACACATACACCAAGCTGACAAGGGTGCACTAAAGAAAGTAGTGGTAAGAAAAGAGGTATGTATGAATATGAAAACTTAATTCATAAGTTAAGATTTATGACGATTTATTTGATATAAGATCTGTAATTGAATATAAAAACTGTGTTCATAAGTTAAGATTTATGACGATTAATTCGATATTATACACTCAAATAAAATATACATTTTTTGTGCATTATTATATTCTTGTTATTTGTTATTGTAGGTTAAAGCAGAAAGTCTTCGAGACATACACAAGTCAGCACGACGTATAGTAGATGACAAGATGTTGGAACACATAGAGCCTGAAGATCACCAGCTACCAAAGGTCAAGAACCTAGAAAGACTGGCAAACAGAGTACGTGAAGACCTCAGGCCAGATGAACCGCAAGACCTTTACTTTGTCATGAGTAGATTTATTTGTTTATTTCACAGTACTAAATTTATTTAGAATAGAGGTTATTCGTATATTGAAAAATGATTAAATGAAAGCAACAATTTATAAATTTTATACGTCTATAACGCTTTGATGTATTTAACCTAAACATGCACGCTCAAAGCCGAAACACATAGATGTATAAAATATATAGCTATATGGAAAACCAGAAAATCATATTTATAGCGAAACAGCATACAGTACGGAAGATTTACAATTTATTCGTCAAAATAAGTCCTTTAGTAACATTGATTAATTGTTATTTTTCTTTTAGTTGGACACAGACTACTTGCAGTGCAATGACTTCATCATTGGTGACATACGAGTCGACAACGAGAGACACTTGATGTTTGCTTCACCCAACCAGCTTCAGATCCTTCAAGAAGCCAAGCGGTGGTTCTAAGACGGTACTTTCAAGATCCTTGCAGATCCCTTTGCTCAGCTTTGGTCCATCCATGCCTTTATCCACAAAGGTGACAGCTACAAACAGATTCCACTAGTTTTCTGCCTTATATCCAGACGTAAAGGGAGAGATTATGTTGCTGTAAGTATAATCAATATTTTATAATATGTTTTGAATTATAGTAATTAATTAACAATAACATTAGAACAAACTACAATATACTCCAAGAATATCATAACGATTTAGCAATACTAATCATTTATTTTATATATAGATATATAACCATAAGAAGTGATTGATAACATTAATTTACTCATTATCATGTTTGTTTTTTGTTTTTTTGTTTTTTTGTTTTTATTTTTAAATTTTTATGATTTTAGTTGTGTGGTTGTTTTTGTAATTATATAAATGAATCATTATTCATTGGTGTAAGTAATACATTTTACAGTTTATTGATTGTATATTTGAACTCAATTGATATATAATCTTGAATAAATTTAATTATAGTAATTTGTTTTATATCACAGGTTTTTCAGAGGCTGAAAGAGGTCCTTCTAAGACCAGCAGAAGTTCAGTGTTTTGTTGCCGATTTTGAGCAAGGTAAATATTATTATATTAATTAAGCATCAACATATTGATTTATGCTGATTTTAATGATTATTTTGAATATCAATTTTGAATATCCTGATGGATATCAACACCATTTATTACTATTGTATTAATTGTACAATAATAACAGATTGCTTGTACTAAGAGTAATCCTCAGACTAAAAATCGAGAACAAACACGATGATAAGAGAAAATTACATGTATGTTAAATTAAACTTTGTTTGCATATTATTATGTTTAATTCACATGTATTTGAAATTGAAGCTTCTTTATGTATCATTTATATCTTTTTATATGACATGATTATGTATATGATGTTAAAGCTTTCTCGCGCATATTTATATTTATAATTACTTTTTCTAGGTGCATGGAAAGCCATACGTAAGGAATTTCCTACTTCCACCATCAAAGGTTGTGCCTTCCATTTTGGCCAGGCAGTTTGGCGTAAGACGCAAGAGTTGGGCCTCAAGACCACATACACCAGCAGGGGTGCAGAGTACAGATACATCCGTTCGCTGATGGCACTTCCCTTCTTACCAGCTGAAGACATCCAGCCGGCTTTCGAGAAGCTTTCACAAAGAGCTACATCTCCAGAGCTAAAGCAACTAGTAAGATACGTAGACAACACATGGCTCTGCAACACTGTTTGGCACCCACGCAACTGGAACATCTTTCAGACCAGCATCAGGACGACCAATAATGATGTTGAAGGTATGCATTTTTTTTTTTTATTTTATATAAGAATTTCATTTTCCTATCAAACTGGTGGCATTATTATATTGTAACGAAAAATTATAAAATTAATTTTAATTTAATTTCCATGTAATCACACGACGTTCCCATTGACATGGATTACTGCAATATAAATTATATAGATATAGGAAGATGTGGTACGATTGCCAATTAGACAACTCTCTATCCAAGTCACAATTTATAACAGTAAACCATTATAGTTCAAGGTTATCTTTTGTTGTGATGAGGCAAATAGCTTTCTTTTTTCTTTTCATGTTTTTAATGAATATATATGTATGTAAATACATCTTTTCTTATAATTTAATTCTATTTTAGGTTGGCACACAAGGATCAACTCCGACATCGGGAAAGCTAATGCCGCCTTCTACGTCTTGGTACCGGCGCTTCATCGGGAAGCCAAGCTTGTTGATCTAACTGTCCGATTGGTTTCTAAAGAACAGGTCATCAGGAACCAACGCATTCGCTACAAGGAGCTGGAAGGTCGTCTTCATCAGTTATGGGACCAGTACAGAGAAGGTGACAAAATAGCATCCCGTCTACTTCGCGATTGTGGCAACATTTACGGTCCGTCCAACCACTAGCTGTTAATTACTCCTGCCTGTGTTTATGTTTGTGCTTTAGCCTTGACAGTATTCATTTTTGCATTTTGTCTCAGATATGACTCAGAATTCTGTATGTGCTATGTACGTTTTGAATGTGGTAGCTGTGATTTAAATGTGCTATGTATGCTTTAAATGTGCTTTGACAATGATTATTTAGATTTGCATTTTGTCTGTCTTATAGATGATGACAAAATGCCTTTGAGTTTTAAAGGTGCTTTATGTGTTTTATTTATGCTTCATATTATTCGTATGTAATTAAATATTATTGAATGACGAAATCATTGTTATGTTTGTTGACATCTGCTGAAATAAAATTTGTAAACCTTATGTTTTCTTTATTATACAGTATTACATTGTACAGATAAATCACACTGAGATTCAACCAAACAAAGTATGATCAGAAACATACAATTCACTGCACTGTCTTATAATTACATAAGGTTTGTAATCACCATAATTTAAACTTACAACTGACACGTGTACTATTGACACCTATTTAATCACCCAAGTGAGAACAAAACTACCTGTAATTACATGAAATTGTGATTAACTAAATATCCAATATCCAGTATTTTCGCAGTAACAGCTTGTGAATAACTGATGTTTTCAGGTTCCCTTTTTTTTTTTGTTTGATTACAAACGATACACGTGGCATGATGTCATATTTCCAGTTGAATCAATTAAGATATGCATATGATAAATTATTTTGAGCGGGACATTATTACAAATTATTATACAGAAATACAAATCAGTGGTAGATTTTCATTATTAAATGCATGCATTCTTAATTTTCCTTTTATACATATCTTGTTAACGTCATTTATATTACTCGCTTCTAAAATGTTCAAAATAAATTATTTAATTAATTGTAAATCATTATTAATTTCAAATTAAGTAGTGATAATTAATTTCCAATAAAAACAAAATAAAACATCATACTTATATTCTTCTAGTAGTCCGATTTTGGTTTAGTCCGAGTTTGTTTGTGCATTGGGGTCTATTTAGGGGTATTTGGAGGGGCCTGAAGAAGGGAGGGGTTTACTATAGAACCCTATGGGAATTTATTATTTTTAAATTTTCAAATGACTATTTCTCGAAAACAGTAGGTGATAGACACATGCAGTCTTCAGTAATGAGAACAGGACAATACAAAAAATCAACCAGAATATAGGGTGAGTCCCTGGGGGTCATCCTTACCCCCTTCAATTTGAAAATGTACTTTTATCTTGTAAACCGTCGCGATCTCCACCCCTAAACTATATATATACTTGAATGGGACAATAAAAGGAATCAAATGAAAATAATTTGGGGGAGTCCCCAGTGTCGTCCCACCCCATCCTGTTTGAGAACTTGGAAATGGTCAAGACCCTCACCCCTAAACCATATATATTCATGTATGGGACAATAAAACAAATCAAAAATGAAATATAGAGAGAATCCCTGGGGTCACCCCACCCCCTCCTGTTTGAGAACTTGTAAACGGTCGAGATCCCAACCCCTAAGCCATATATATTCATGTATTGGACAATATAACAAATCAATTGAAATATATGGGGAGTCCCTGGGGTCACCCCAACCCCTCCTGTTTGAGAATTTGGAAATGGTTGAGATCCCCAGCCCTAAACCATATATATTCATGTATGGGACAATAAAACAAATCAAATGAAATATAGGGGGAGTCCCTGGGGACACCTCCGCCCCTCCTGTTTGAGAACTTGTAAACAGTCAAGATCCCCACCCCTAAACCATATATAGTCATGTATGGGACAATATAACAAATCAAATGAAATATATGGGGAGTTCCTCGGGTCACCACACCCCTCCTGTTTGAGAGCTTGGAAATGGTCGAGATCCCCACCCCTAAACCATATATATTCATGTATTGGACAATAAAACAAATCAAATGAAATATAGGGGGAGTCCATGGGGACACCCCACCCCCTCTTCTAAGAGAACTTGTACACAGTCAAGATCCCCACCCCTAAACAATATATTTTCATGTATGGGACAATATAACAAATCAAATGAAATATTTGGGGAGTCCCTTTGGGTCACCCCACCCCCTCCTGTTTGAGAACTTGGAAATGGTCGAGATCCCCACCCCTAAACCATATGTATTCATGTGTGGGACAATATAACAAATCAAATGAAATATAGGGGAGTCCCTGGGGTCATCCACCCCCTCCTGTTTGAGAACTTGGAAATGGTCGAGATCCCCAACCCTAAACCATATGTATTCATGTATGGGACAATATAACAAATCAAATGAAATATAGGGGGAGTCCCTGGGGTCACCCCACCCCCTCCTGTTTGAGAACTTTTAAACGGTCTAAACCTAAACCATATTTATTCCTGTTCATCATTTCAAAAAGATTTGAATGACATACAGGGTCAATCTCCTTGGTGTCACATATGCATATCACTTTACTAGACCAAACCAATATGAACTGGACTTTGCCCAATGTCAGGAGACCATGGGAATGACGAATTATGAGGGCTTTGTTTGGGAGACTTCGTAACGGCATCTTGTTACAATTATTTCTTGTTAATTATAAAAAAAATTTGATCCAAAAAATGAGTCTAGATTATTGAATTTACTTTAATTGTTTATTAAATTATTTCTGGGCCTATAATAATTTTCATTTATGGCTCATTTTGAAGAAAACATATAAATCTTTCAAGCAGTGTAAAGCCCAAGAATGTTTGACCAAATGCTTTATAATCACCTGTCATTTTATTCCAAACTTGGTATGGAGTAACATCATGCACTTGGGGGTGAAGATGGGGGTCATTTACATTGATATATGAGTTGCTTTTGAAAACCTCGATGAAATATTAATTAATTTGCCTTAATAATCAATTCATTTAATGAACATAAATGTACAATATACGAATGTTTAATGTTTGTTCTTTCAAATCTTAAAAAAAAAAATTGAAGCAACATTGCCACAGTTTTCATAATTACGTTTGCCTTGGTTTTTGGTTAACTGCCTTCAGCGCTTACAGTGCTTTGATTTTATTCTTTCATTATTCACTAGTCCAAGTTTGCGGAGCTAGACAGTTAAATAACAACTTCTGAGAAGGAAGTTAGAGCGCTGCTTTAAGCTCCTCCCATTGTTTGGTTTTCCTATGAAAAAACGACTAAAGGCGGGATTGGAGATTGCAAAAACTAAAAAAAAATCATTCAGAAAACGCACTCCTCTTGAAATAACAGACTTAAACTCACTCGAAGATCAAAGGAAAAATAACCATTCATGTTACAATTTTGGATATGTAAACTTGTTTCACCTGTTCAAAAAAAAAAGGTAAAAGTCAAAATACAGCCAACTTAAAATATATGCACAAAATACCTGTATATCGATATCAGTAACAGCTGTTTTAAGATTGAATTACATACAGTACATTAATCCAATCAATACAATGGACATCTTCCAATTGATATTAGAATATATTTGATACATTTATGTGTGAATTATTTTACAGTCGTTATGGAATAATTGTATGTGGACATTTCCAGTTCAAAATTAAGTTGAGATATATGTAAATAATACGGTAGATGATATATTTAGGAAACGTCAACGTAAGATGATTCATTTCCTGAGAAAGGCAATTATGTGTCCAGTGAAATATTCAACAATAGTGTCTTCAGTGTTACGTAGAGAAATTGTCAATATGTATGTACATAAGTGGAATACAAGAGGAATAAAAACAACGTTGTTTATTTTTTTCATTGTGATTTTATTGATATTTATGAATTCATATATCAAACCTGTTCGATTCATATTTGTTCATCAAAGTGTAAACAGTACGTGCCTTTTACCAGACATTGATCCTTTTGACAAATCAGTCATGAAGTATATATGGCATCCAAAGCCAATTGTTTGCGAACCATCTCCGTCCATTGTTTATATTGACAAGATGGGAAAACTACAACTGAACAGAAGTGAAGTTTCAAAGAATAACAACCCTTTCGATTGTTTTTATCGTTTGATTGAACGTTCCGGTGACAATGATGTAACACTATCACAGGAAGTCAAGTTTTTACGTCCAGTGTATATTCCTTCAGATTATGTAAATGTTAAATGTTTCGATGATCACAGACTTCTGTATGATACTGTTCTGCATAATGTTGACTATAAAACAGTTCGGAAGAGTAAAGAAATATTAAAAGAAAATGAACAATGCTTTAGTGTAT